CATTAATAATCTAAAATATATCATAGAACATCTTATGGTACCATATGAACGTCCCATAGATCCGACATTAACAACCCAAAATATACATGGAACATCATACGAATACTATAGGAAAATTACAAAAATACATCATCAATGGAATCTAGATAGCTTGAGAAAAATATCGAGGATACATCATCAAACATAAATAAATAGTGAAAACGATCCAAAATACATGGTAGGGCATCTCATGGAATAGAGGAAATAAAAAGGAACATAAATTAGTAAAAATAAAAGAAATAATTATTAGAATTAAATGTACAAAATTTCTGCCACCAAAAGTTTTTTGGTCCAACCACCCGCTTCGAAATCTCCCGCTGTGATTTTTTTGTATTCCTGTTGAATGGAAACTTCAGTTTCTTCCATGAAAAACGTTGTGCCCGTCCGTGCCCTTTCTGAATTCATTTTTTGTTTTCCTATTTTCTATTTCCTTTCTACCTTTTAGTTTCGTAACTATTTTGTTTGTCTTCTTTTTCTTCCTTTCTTCTTATAAATTGAATAAATAAATAATAAATATTGTATTAATGGGTATTTAAACTCTTTATTCTTCTCAACCCATTCTCGATTCCTTTTTTGTTTTTTCTAATTCTCCTTTTCCTTGTTAGTTCCGTGACCTTTTTTGTCTTCTTTTTTTTCTCATGTTTCTTCCTATAAATAGAATAAATAAATAATAAATATTATATTATGGGTATTTGAACTCATTATTCTTCTCGAATGAATAAATATTTCAATCGCTATGTTGTTATAATATAATTTTGGTTAGAAAAAAATTTATTACTATTAGAACCTGATCAACCAATAGTCTAACTAATCAAATCATGACTGAAAACTTAAGCAGTTTGTCATCCAGTTTAATCTATATCTATGTACCTATATTTACATATAGAATATTAAAGAATGAAAATTTCTTCTTCCATTCCATCTAGAAACTCACCTCGGGCCCATCTCCACATGTCAATGAAACTAATCCAAATGCAATAAGACATCCCTATCATGCCCTTACAACTTCTATGTCGTGTATGTGACCCAGACTCACGATATGTATTCATATGAGTTAGAGCAACTCGCGTCTAACAATAGTATGAAGTATGATTCCATGAAGTATCGTGTTCCATTGTAATGCACGGGCATGTTTGCTATTTTCTATTCTACCTGCATCCACCACCTTCGGGTTCTAAGTTCTTCTATTTTTTATGTTTTTCTTATAAATACCAAAAACAAATAATAATAAATATAATACCATGGATCTTTGAATCCTCTTTCTTAAAAAAAATAGAGATTTTCACCACCAAGATATGTAATTTTAAATTTTAATTAAAAACTTACTATAACCTGGTTCAGCCATGGTCTAACTAATCAAATGTAAACTGAAAGCTTGAGCAATTTGTTATCCCGCTCAGTCCAGTACAAATCCCAATGAGGGCTAGCATGTGAAAAACCGAGAGAACTCCGTTGTAATTATCAGCAGACAAACAAGTTTTGAGTTTTGACACGTCAACAACTAACTTCTCGCTAATTTTGATCCAATATTAGAATTGCAACTTTTTATGGGTCTACAAAGGAAGTCGCGAAACTCATATTTAACCGTACCTACATATGGATATTAAGAAATTAAATTATGATGTATTTACAATTAAATATTTCTATGCTTTCTAATGGGAGAAAAAGAATATAAAAAATATATTTTAAATTTGATACTGGATTAATAGGACAATGTCATATTATTGCCAATACTAACTTAAAATAAACTATAGCTTTAAAATTTTATGCAAACATAAATAGATATGTATCATTCCGATCACTGTTTTGATGAACATTTCATAGTTTTTTTTTCTCGTTGCAACGTACGGGCATGTTTGCTAGTGACAAAAAAAAAAAGGAACAGAAAAAGAAGAATAAATAGGAAAAAGAAAAGAATGCGCACATTGGGCCTAAAACATGCGACGAGATGGTTCTTCGTGGTTGCACGGTGGCCTAACGTCTACTTTCGTAGCCGGAATGGGCCAAATCATTGTTCAGCCGATAATCAATTGCTGGGCTGAATTATACCAGACAAAAAAAATGAAAGAGGAGGTGGTGAGAGAGCTGCCTCCATCGACAAGTCGGACATGAAGATTTCCTACCATAACCTCCAAGATAAAATGGGCTTTTTTCTGCATAATAGCAGTCTCTGTTTGGAGCCATCGAGAGCATTTTGGCCCATGCATCGCCCGTTCTGGTATTTGCAATTCCTTTTTGCCCACAGTTTCTGAAGCCCTTCTAGTATGTCTGAACTCTGAACTCCTGAATACCTGAATCTCTCGTTTTCAGTCTGCACCAGCAAAGTCGTTGCTGCCATTTACGGCGCGTTTAGATGCAAAATATTTTGGGTTTTGGCTACCGTAGCACTTTCGTTTGTATTTGACAATTAGTGTCTAATTATGAACTTTTAATTCGAAAGAAAGTTTGTCTCACGATTTCTCACCCAACCGCCTGATGCAATTGGTTTTTTTCGTTTCACATTTAAGACTTTCATGACGTGCTGCGAAGATTCGATGTGATGAAGGCATTGCAATAAAATTTTTAGAACTAAACATGCCCTTATTCCTGCTACTTTCGGGCGCTTTCAGTTCCAGTTCCAAGCATCAAGCAACAAGCCTGTCAGGAACGCAACAGACACGGCGACTAGCTGGATCTGGATCCGTTGCCGGCACACCGTTTCCCCACATCATCGCAATACCGCGCCTTCGAGAAGAAGATGGCGAATTGGTCCTGCAGAATTGCAGATAAAGATAAACAAGACCATGCTACCGTGCCACGGATAAGCAATCGGACCACGCAACCGAGTAAGTAACCGACCCACCCCGCGGCTGACGTTCTGGATAAGCCAACCGACCATGCTACCGTGTCTCGTCGTGGCCATGTCCAACCGAGCACGTCATGTTGTTGCCGGCAATGGAAGGATTTCAGGTTGGAGGTTGAACGCTTTTTATACGGTGATAAACTGAAGTCTGCACCGCCTGATGCAGAGGGTTAAGATTTCGACGAATTTCGGTAATTTCGAAGGTGGCCGAATTTTTTCAATACAGAGATTGAAAACCCTCGTGCAGGACGACAGGGAATTGAATAAGCACTATGTTCTGCTTCTGCAGCCATTCGCCCATTTGGCCCTTGTTTAGTTACCACCCAAAAACTTCACACCCTGTCACATTAAATGTTTAATACATTCATGGAGTATTAAATATAGACTAAAAAATAATTAATTGCACAGTTTGCGACTAATTTGCTAGACGAATCTTTTAAGCCTAATTAGTCCATAATTCGATAACAAGGTGCTACAGTAACACGTGTGTTAATCATAGATTAATTAGGCTTAATAAATTTATCTCGTGGTTTACTGACGAATTCTGTAATTTATTTTTTTATTAGTATCTGAATACCTCATACGACACCCACGATCACGTGATACTCAAAACTCTACTGCATCTAAACGAGGCCTCGGTTGCTTTCTGCTGCATACTGCTCTGCCGTCTTTACGGTGCAACAAACCAGCAATTCATACGCGGACGTCAGTTCCAGGGATGGAAAGGAATAATAAGGGAAGGCTTGACAGTACGGGGACAAGTTGCGTTGCCGTGCCTGATTGGTGCTGATGTCAGGTGTTTGACATGTTCACTTGATAAGCCATAGCTAAAAACATTATTGGTTAATTTATTATGAGAGAAAAATATTGTTTGTTGACTGAAAAAGTACGTCTTATAAGGTAAGCGAATAGGGCGAGGGCTAAAGTTCAGGTATGTTATATCGGGTGTCACATGGATGTGTTATATCAAGTGTTTCGATAGTAATAATAAAACAAATTACACTAATCTTCAATAATCCGCGAGACGAATTTATTAAGCCTAATTAATCTATCATTAGCATATGTTCATCGTAGCACCATATTATCAAATCATTGACTAATTAGAATTAAAAATTTATCTCATAAATTAGTCTCAATCTATATATTTAATTTTATAATTAATTTATATTTAATACTCTATACCTATGTCTAGATACGATGTGATCGGGGCTCAAGTTTACGAGGGGAAATAAACACAGAAAATCTTGCGACGCTTGACGGGGACAGGAATACAGGATTCAGCTGACTCAGTGCGTGCTGAAAGGGACGGCCATTGGGATCTGATTGACGCTTCATGACGATGTAGGTTGTCAAGGAAATTCAGTTCCAAGTTATATCTGTCGATAGCTATTAACTAATGCATGTATGTATGACATTAATCATGAGAGACTTGTGGAACAGATCCACCGGTGAGCATCTCACTAACGTCTTAGCGGAAGATTTCATTCAGGTAACTGAAAGTGCAAGTAGATCAGAGCTTCCGAAATCAAGACGCTTTCTCTTCAAGTCATGCTACAGAGTACAGAACAAGCAAGCACACACAGATACATCCTGGCGACGACAGCCCGTTCGTTTGACTTTTTCAGTCAGAAAGTATTTTTTTCACACAAATCAACCAATCAGCCAACAGTACTCCCTCGTAAACCAGCCAAACGAACACACTGAAGATTGAGTACTTGAAAAGCAATTTGCAGAGAATTGAAAGGAAGAGGGGTTACAGTATTAACAGATCAAACCGAAAACATCATAGGTTTTGTCTCCATAACATTTCGGTGCAAGAACTAATGGTACACAGCTAGCTACATACCCCCTAAGATTAGGATCAGCTCGTCTGCACCGGGACTGGGAGGCTCGTCGTCGCAGCAGATCGAGGGAGGGGCACCATCCTAATACTAGTCCCCTCCCCCCCTAATCTCTCAATCTCCATCTCCTCCCAACCAACACCGTCACCACGCTATTCATTGTTTTTATTCTAAAAAACACAAATCCAACAAACATGGATGGACGGAAGCATATGTATGTACACACGGGCAGAGCGCTTGGTTCATGCCAGCGAGTCGGTGGGTGGCTAGCTAGCTGGCTAGCGCTTGTTGTCGGGCGCGGCGGAGGCGAGGCGGGAGGCGATGGCGGAGTGGTACATGGCGTCGTGGAAGCTCTCCGTCTCCATCATCTGCATCCGCAGCCGCCGCGCCTTGTCCTCCGTCAGCACGCCGAACCGCCTGGCCGACGACGGCGGCCCCCGCGGCAGAGGCTCCTCCTCGGACGACGCCGGGTGCGCGTCGATGTAGTCCGGCTGGCCGGACCACCCCAGCAGCGGCGCCCACCACTTGGCGCCTCCGCCGTCGGCGCGCGCCCTCGCCCCGCCGGCGGCCGCCGAGGCAGAGCAGGCGCAGGGCCGGGCCGCCGGCGCCGGCGCCGGCGGGCGGACGGAGAAGACCATCCCTGATGACACTGCCATCTGCACTGGAGGAAGTTTGGAACGGGCGAGAAAGGGATTTGTTGAGGCTGATTGCGAGTTTGTGTGACCTGCGGGTGGATGTGGATTGGGTGGGTGCCCCGTGGTGGGGTTATAAAGCGTGCGAGAAGAACGGAGGGAGGGAGGGAGGGAGGGAGACGAACGAGTGGATAAGGTTTCGAGGCGAGGCAAGAGGGGGGCCGCGGCGTGCGCTTTTTCCCGCGGGCCGTCGCTTTTACGGTGGGGTGGGGGGAGCGGCCCGAGCCTGGCGGGGCCGGTCCGCGAGACCGCGGCTCCGCGGGGTGCGTGCTCGTTACTGCGGTCTGCGGGGGTGCAGCTGGGCCGATCGGGATGGAGCGCGGCCTTTTCTTTGCTTTTCGGGCAACTTCCCTGGGACGGTGGCTCGCTCGGCGGGCTCCCCTGCCGTCGGGTTCGGGGGTCCGTTTCCATCGGTTGGGTTTGCCAGCCTATCCCGTGGGCGCGGGGTGCGCGGGTGGTGAGCCGGGCACGCCGCACCTGGTTCTCGCCTTCTCGGGCGCCGATTGGCGGCCGGGGGGTTTTCATGGGTTTTTGAGTTTCGTTTTCCTTCATCAGGCTTCGTTTGGCACTCAGGGATCAGTACTCACGTGGTAGACTACTCACTTGGGGATTGGGGTGATCCCCTGCCCTCCACCCGATCCCCACCCACACGAGCAAAAATAAATAAATTCTTGTGGCGGCGGCTCTTCCAGGGAGCGAAGCGACAAAACATCGCGACTCGCGGGAGCTCCTTCCCGATCCGAGGAGAAGCGGCTTGAGACTCACATGGGTTTACGTGGTTTTGGGTGAAACCATTCCACCCCCATCGTTGCCAAATACAATTTTAGCACATGAACATGGATATTTCCCCGACATGGGTCTGCTCCCCTGGTGGGCGGGTTTGCTCCCAATCCACCTCATTCTAAGCCTATCCAAACGAAGCCTCAGGGAGAGGACAACATGGCACTGTTTTCCTCTACAACGGAACTACGAGTAGAGGCTCTAGACTTATTGTTAGACGATGGACTGCCAAATTTTTGTAGTGTGCTACTTTTGGCATCAACAGATGAACTGAATTTGCCCTTGCTCATAACCAATCGTTTTGCTAAAGTCACTGTTAATTGTAAGGGCCACAGTGAAGATTTAATGACAAAAGAGAAAGGGAAACAACGGTTAACTATATCCCACCAAAACTGTTTTGAGGTACAATTTTGTTTGTTTTGCCAAGCATGACGTGAGCTATGTTGTAAAAATCGTGGTCCTGAATCGGATAAAAAAACTCAGAATGGTAGGATCACAAATCATGCAATCATACCTACTGGAATCGTAAAATCGTAGATTCTACTTAACATAAATGTAGAATCAATCTGATAAACTAGACTCACAAAATCATAAAATCGCATAGAATCGAGATTTTTAAAACTATGGTCTTGAGATTTGATTATCCTATCAAAACGCAATATTTTATGCAGCCAATGACACGTGGGGCCTGGTTGACATAAAAAGCATATACTCATATGGTCGCAAACTGTAATTTTCGGTGCCTCCAAATAATAACAAGAAGTGAGTAAGAAAAACTAGAGTTTGTGAATTCTATCTTGAAAGGGACAGGTCACAAAAAAAAAGAAAGGGAGGAGGCCAGTAAACAGTACTTTCTTTTTTTTAATGTAAACAGGACCTATCGTTTATTAAAAAAAAAATTGGGGAAGTAACAAGGCCTAAACAAAAAAAAATAAAATCAACACATCACACTACAGGGAGAAGAAGAAAAGGTATCAAACATCAAATGCATATATGACTAGCAAGATCTCAACAAGGTGCTTCGCTCCTGCATCGCACCATATGCGAGCCTCCTCCTTGATTTTAGCTAGCAGTGAGGAAATTGACAGGTATTGTTTCTGAAAAATCGTGCCTTACGCTCCTTCCAAATCTCCCACGTGACCAACAAAAGAAGAGAGCAAAAGGTCTTTAGCGAAAAGTCTTGTTGACTGGCCATCTTTGTCCACCAATTCTTTACCTTGGAGTAGTGATGCGTGATGAAACAGTACTTTCTGACTTCCAAGCTTTTTTCATCGCAGCGAAACAGGGGCGGTAAACAGTCCTTTCCAGCTCGTGCAAATATACATTTGTTGCTACGCCCGACGGTGATCGGGGTGGACGTGGACGGTGGACGGATACTTTGGGCGAGCCAGCCACTGGTCCACCCGCGTGGCCTGCCTCGCTGGCGCGGTGGCGCCCGTCCCGCCTTCGCGGCGAGAGGGACCTCCGTGTTTGGTAGCCGCGGCAGCATTCCCTCCACCGATCGACCACCGCTGGGGGCGCCCGACGACGAGCCCCGCAAGCGTGACGCACATGCACGCACGGTAGCAAATCGAACGTGCCGCGGCGTGCGAGTGCGACGCACCGGCACGTACGCGGACGTGTGCCCCGCGGCGTGTCTCGCTGCGGCGACGGCGACGGCGACGGCGACGAGGCCGCGTGCACGGCGTCCGGTCGGGGTGGCCTGTAGCCTGTTCATACGAACCTGCCGTGCCGTGTCATCGCGCAATTGCTCTGCATTTTTCTTCCTGCATGAGATAGGCTTTTCAGTACGTGCAATGCCTGAATATCTTAATCGCGGTGCCTGAAACTAGCGAGTTGCCTGGAAAGCACAAAGCAGCGACGACGCTTTCAGACGAGATGATGTGGAGTGCTGATCCAAGAGAAAGGAATGGCTGGCCGGGTCACCAATAATTTGGCCGCCAGGCAAGCAGGCAGGCAGCGTTCCTAGTCAATCAATGATCTGAACCTGGATTAAAGGAGTTCCTTTATTGAACAGTGTGTTGGAGTGACGTGGAGTGGAGATAAGGCTATGAAACCTGGCTGTGTGTATCATCAGGAAGAGGATTAGATGTAAACTTGAGAAGGCTTGGTTACGCAACATCACGCTCATGGATGGTGCAATGGGATTTTAGATTAGATCCTGTGTGTGCGTAATAATTTTTCATTGGGCCGGTCAATTGCCAAAGGAAAGGCCAGCTCCGTCAAGGAAACAGGGATGGCCTATTTCGCTGGCAAAGGCCCAGAGCGAGCGGGCCTCTTCTCGGTTCACAATGGTACAGGTTAGCAGCAGCAGCCCGGTCAATTGCAAAAGGAAAGGCCAGCTCCGTCAAAGACAGGAAATTATGGCCTATTTCTCTGGCAAAGGCCCAGATGCTCTGCATTAGCCCAGGAGCCCGAGACGAGCAGTTTTTTTTTTCTTTTTGAGCGGAGGGACTAGAGCAGCTGAACCGAGCACCACGGCCGAGCCACAGGCAAGAGTGGTGGCCTGGTGGCCGGAGTCCCGGAATGAAGGGAAATGGGCCGGTGGCGCCGTGGCGTGGCGGCGATGCCGCTGGTGCTGCTCCACTTGAGTTGAGAAGCTGGTCGCGCCACACGTCACGCGACATGGGCAATGTGACTACTAGTAATTTGCACTCGCCCATACGCGCTGTGATAACACATTTACAATTTCATCACATGATAGTGCAGATAGAGAGATGTCTGGGATTAGAACCATTAGACGTTAGTAGCATAGCTTCTAACATATGCAAGGTAAATGTTCACAGGCACAATCTTAGTACACACTGATATATTGATCCTAAGGTAGTACATTGGATGTATGGGATCACAATAGCTATCACGTGCGGGAGAGAAATAGCAGTTCCTAGGGGATGCTACCGAGCCAAGGCGGCGTGATGCTTTTCCAGTTTCGGTTGGATATGTCAGCACCGTCGGACTCATAGGTTGGAGTAGGCGAGAAGGCTGCTTAAATCAATACAACAGATGTTACTTTTTTTAGCTACACAAGAATCTGATATGTACTACTGTAAATAAAAATGCATTAGGAGCTATGGTCCTGTTCGCTTCGCAAAAAAAGCCAAAACACTGTTCCGGCTGATTTGTTGTGAGAGAAAAACACTGTTCCGACTAAAAAACTAGCTGAAAAGTATAGATTATAAGAGAAGCGAACAGGACCTATATAGCTTGGTTTAGAGCTGTACCTTTGGTTTCAAAGCAACGACTGTAGCTTGTAATTTCGTTGTTAGTGTTTGAACGGTGGTGGATCAAACCGACGCCATAATAGTTTGGCCACTGGCATGCCTGATGAGCTGTATATTAGAGAGAATAGTGTCTAGGCATGTGATGAGGGCGTAGCCGATAGTATATGTAGGCTAAGTGGCTAACTAAAAGAACAGAGCAACACTCTAAGGTATGGTGTACATGGTCTAAGTGACATCACCTTCATGCTGTTGTCTCTGTTGAGGATTCGTCAAGAGCCACTCTATCCACATTGAATTCGTCCGTTGTTAGAAATTCAAGGAAAGCATGCATTGGATCAATGTAAAAAAACATGTATTGGAGCTAAGTATTAGGAACTTTGGTATGCATCATCTACATGAATACTGTGATGTTACATGTGTCTAAAAAACACATACAACCAGAATTATCAGATGTTTCGTCGCCATTCTTGAAGTCTAGTGGTGCTTCAGAAAGGTGCGTGGAGCGTGATAATTAGCATCCTAGGCATCACAAGATGTCTAATTAAACCACTAAAAGAATAGTATACCGTAAAGGCAAGCAAAAATAAAAACATCATAAATTGGCATCCTAGGCATCATGTAATGAAATATATTGTCAGTAAAGGGAACAAATGGCTCACATAGGCTGCAAACATAATAAGTTTGACTTTAAAACATTTTTAAAGGAAAAACATAGTTTCAATCTACACAGTAGAGAGGTATATAAAAATTTAGAAATCAAGTTACAAAATGTATGCAAGGACATCGAACAAAAGATAAAGCAATAATTTATACAATAAACTGAGAACATAACACTAAAAACTTTACAACCAGGAAGATAAATAAGAGATAGAAGAGTTGATATTAACCCAAAAGGCAGCTATAATTACCCAATGATAGAATAGTTAGGTAACACAACTTATATTA